AATTATCAAAACTTTCAAGAAATCGCAAGTTAGCAATTTATAATTACTAATTTATATTAGAATTGAATTTACTCATTTCCAATACCCATTTCATCATTTAACAACAATACACAAGTGTTAAAAATCTCTAACAACCTACCTATTCCATATCACAAACTTAGGTTGGAAATAAACCTAGTTAGGATGAAAACGTTACCTCTTGAAGTGTAAACAATAATAGCAATGCATTATATATCCAACATACATCATCTAGCACATTAAACGACGTATCTTCTTGCCCGCCCGGGATTCTCTTTGCTCGGTAGGATTATGGTTTAGTTACAAATGTTCAATGTACGTGTAGAGAAAATAGGAAGTAAAGGTGCTACCATTAATATATTGATAAAAAGTATTTCTAGTTGTACCTAATTTGGGGAGTTAATTAGTTATTGCCAAAGGATTAATTGTGGCTCGTAATACTATATGAGGTCCACTATCAATCTAATGGTAACAATCGATTAACTTCAAATTTAGTCTCTAAACTAGATTCAAGTAGTATTATTGATTGGTAAAATACATTACCATAATGCACTAAAATTATAAATGTGAATAATAAAGAAATTAAAAATTGACAAAAAAAATTAACAATATAATTATCTAATATTTGGATGAGTATTATGACTTGTCATATTGTTGTGGGTGTATATCTTTACTTATTATTAAATTGACAAAGTGAGAAGGAATGAAGAGTAATTTTATTTTTGGTCATTAAGAGGACAGTTGTTGATGCGCGACTTGAAAGTGAGAGACTCTTTTGTTCACATTGAGAGAGAAAGAGAGATTGCCAAAGACGAAACTCGCGATTAGGTGCTGCTCTGTGTGATCGGAGCTAGGTCTTCATGATCTGAGCACCAAGCAAACATATGAGACTGGCGGGCCATCGATGATCTTCGCTGGTGCAGCTGCTCAATTGTTTTGAACTATGAAGACAAGAAGAAGAAGATGGAGAAGGATACTTGTAGACTCCCAATCATTTCAATTTTGCATTTATACTTTCAGTTCCTTCATCTTGGGATGTAAGTGCATCTAAATACTGAAGATTCTTGCATGGGTCTTGTTCATCTTGTTTTCACCCTTTTTTTTGGGGTTCAATTTCATCTCTATCTGATTCGAGGATTCAATAAGGAATTGTCTGAGCCGGTTTCGAGTTTGGCGGGTCTAGTCCGAATTTCACCGAGGCGATCTATTTGTATTTGAGTCGAGATCCATTTGATTGAGACGCGAAACATGCAACATTATCAGTTCGGTTGGGGCCAAGTCAGATTCGGGTCAATTGATATTTTGAATGTCGGTGTACTAGAATCCAATGTCCAGCCCAACAAGTGGTTCGAGTAGTGTTTCATTAAATTAGCTGGAGTTGCTTGCAATCCATGACACAGTGAGGTTGTCAATTGTTTTTTTAACCTAAATTAATTCAGTAAATCCTATAATAAACTACTCTCAATGATCTTCAGCTTTTTTTTAGTCTCGGTAGAAACAGCCTTATGGAGGAATCTAGTGTGTAATTGAAGAGTTGTACCATAAGCTATGAAGCACGGACACTCTTGAGAAGGTGACGTATTCGTGTTGGACACGTATCAGACATTGACACTCTTTGGACACTCTCGGATACGTGTCCGATACTCTTTTATCCGTATTTATAATTAAAAGATAAAATTTTAATTTTGGACACGTGTCGAACACTTCTTTGGTGATGTATCTGTCATTCTTGAGAAGCCACACTGGCCAAGACTCCCCGTTATTGCCAGCTGAGTGCATCAACTACCACATTTGCCTTACCGGGATGGTAATGCAAAGTGAAGTCATAGTCCTCTAAATACTCCATCCACTTGTGTTGCCCCATGTTGAGGTTCCGTTGTGTGAAGATGTACTTCAGACTCTTGTAGTCTAAAAATACCTCAAACTGCTCTCCGTATAAATAGTGGCACTAAGCCTTCAAGGCAAAGACAATGGTCGCCAACTCCATATTATGCGCAGGGTAGTTTTGCTTGTGGTTCTTTAAGCCACCACTCTCCCGGACTACATCAAAACACACACAAGTCTATCCTTCGAAACATCATAATACACTGTGTACCTCTGTCCCCTTTCTGGAATTATCAAAATCAGAGCTGAAGTAAGCCTTTTCTTCAACTCTTGGAATGCACTCTTACGCGAGTCATCCCACTAAAACTTGACTTCCTTCCGGATCAATCTCGTCATAGGTGTAACTAGTTGAGAGATTTCCTCAATGAACCTCTTGTGGTATCCCGCCAATTCCAATAAACTGCGTATCTCGAAGACTGACTTCGGTCTATCCCAACTCATAACTGTCTCGACTTTCTTCGGGTCAATTGACACATCCGAAGCCGATACCACATGTCCCAAAAATTTCACTTCCGTAACCCAAAATTCACATTTGCTGAACTTGGTGTACAACTGATGGTCCCTCAAGTTTTGAAGAACAACTTTCAAGTGACCCTCATGCTCCTCAGATTTGAAGTAGATCAGAATCTCATCTACAAAGACCACAACAAACTAATCTAGGTAGGGTTCGAACACCCTATATGCATGAGATCCATGAATGCCGTCGGAGCATTCGTCAATCCAAAAGGCATAACCGTGAACTTGAAATACCTATACTGCGTCCTAAATGCCCTCTTAAGGATATCTATCTACCTAATCCTCAACTAATGGTATCCCGTGCGTAGATCTATCTTAGAGCAGACCTGCGCCTCTCTTAGTTGGTCAAATAAGTCATCAATTCTCGACAAAGGGTCTTGATAGTAAACCTATTCAACTGCCGGTAGTCTATGTATAACCAAAGGTCTTGTCCTTCTTCTTGGCAAACAACACCGGAGCACCCCAAGGTGAGGTACTTGGTCTAATGAAGTCCTTGTCCATCAATTCTTGCAATTGGACCTTGAGTTCTTGCAGGTGCCATTATATGCAGTCATAGAAGTGGGCAATGTACCGGGGTGCAACTCAATAGTGAAGTTACCTCCCTATGTGGAGATAATCTCGGTAGTTTATCCGAAAAAACGTTCTTATACTCACAAACCACCTGAGGTAGTCTCAACTACTATCTTGTCTCGTCCTCCAAGGTACGGCTTGCAAGCCAGCCCATCAATTACCCGTGTCAATGGAAATCATATACTACTTTGGGTAAAATGTTATGTTTCTCCCTCTGAAATATAAAACAAACATCATCTGGTGTGTAGGTAGTGATCCTTTTTCGATCACAATCGATAACAACTCAGTGTGCCGTCAAGCAATTCATCCCCAGGATGACATCAAACTTTGACATGTTCATGACCCGAAGGTCCATGGTAAGTAGAATTCTCGAGATTTCTAACTCACAATCCCGACATATCTGATCAATACATACCCTAGTACCTAGGGAAAAACTCACATGCAATGACTTTTTAAATAACAATAGAGCACTAACTTAGTATCCCAAGATAGGGATCAAAGTCTTAATATTGAGATTTCTCTCCTTGTCTCACCCATAGTGCGTGTGCCACTTACTAGTAGACATTTACACCCTGAACCGTATTGTTTCTTTTCTTTTTCCGACTCCTAAGATTATGCTCTCTAACCCTAGTGTCTCTTTTTAATATATATTTCACTATGCATATACTTTACATAACATGTAACATATAATATGTAGCATTTAAAGCACACAACATGTAATGCACAATGGATGCAATGATCTAAACTCATGCTCCACAAGCATTAGGTAAATCGTAAACCTAGGCTTTGATACCAAGCTGTGACGCCCCAAAAACCGAGGGTTCTTTGTCAACTTGTTGATCACCCATCAACCCGCGGAATACTCGTGGATATCGTGTAACTCGATATCACGCCGTTATGCCCCATTTACTGAAATCCATAATTTAATAAAATTCAGGTAGAGTCTCCTTTGTACGGGGAGCTCTACCCAAAACACAACCTGTGCAATTATACAATATTGATCACACTAAGTTCATTTATCCATACTCATATAATAACATGCAATTTTACATTAAAAATCGTCTATATGATTTCGATTATAATTTTTTTCCATAGATTTATATGTCCAAAATTAAATTTAGCAAATATTTTACAAAAGATGATTTAAAAGTCACAAGTCGATTTTTTTTCATCCTTGAGGCCCCGAGTGTAAGCCGTCCACCGGTGTATACCCTGCACTTGAAATGTTTTCCATAAAGGGTGAGTCACGCTCAATAGGGTATTTCCTAAAGAGGCTACTTCCCAACCTAGATGCATATGAAATGTCACATGCAACTACAACTAGCCACAAAGCATTCCAATCAAGAATATGTAACTCATTGTTGAATATCACTATGTCATGCCCTGAAATGCCATGTCATGTCATATCCGTGTCCCGTGTCCCTGTCCATGCTTCTTAAACCATAAGAAGTGTTTGAATCTTTACCCTTTAGATTTCGGGTTGTGGGTATTTTTCTCAGTATTTTGAAACTCTTATTATTTTCTACAATTACAGAGCTGTCAGAATCTTGAAGGCCTGAAGATTTGTTGAAAGCTGATTTATTCGTCTTTTCATATATATACCTAACACTAGTTGTTTTATCACGTACAACACTTGTGTCAATTATTTTCAGTGTGATCCCCAATTATGTTTTTGTGGTAATATATTTGCACGTGTTGGGGTGGGGGAAAGTTGTCAATGGATGCTGGATGGTTTGGCATCCTGCCATTGCAGGTCTAGGCTGTCTATGGGTTGAATCAGGCAGCCAGGTATGTGTTTGTGGAGCAGACTCCAAACCTACAAATAATGTTTTAGGTGTTGGTTTTAGGATCTTGACAAAGCATTCTGTTGTCTTAAATGTCATTATTTTACAAATCTGATTCCCTAGATCATTGGGCATATAATTTAATCCTATTGGAGTTCAAAAGTCCACTTGAACCTGCAGGTGACAGTACTTATTGGTGATCCTATCAATTTTAATGATTTACTAAATATGGAGGAAAATCAAAATGTATCAAGAGGAAAGCTATATGATGCTGTATCTGCAAGAATTGGTGATCAATTACAGAAACTAAAAGCGCAGGTTGACAGATTAGCAACAGAACAATCACTGCAATCACAAAGCTATCCTAAGTGTCGGGCAGAACGAGCAGCAGGAATTTTCCAGCGAGTTGATTGGGAGACACTTGGTATGAATTGTTTTGTAGGTGCTGAAGAGAATTCCTTACCTTCGAGACAAGATTTACCAGCTGAACTGCAGATGAATCTAACCAATCCACAGGAGAATGATATTCCTAATCAGTATTCCCGGATGGGCTTCTCTTATAAAGGTGGCATTATGTCGAGGATTCAGGGGTATATGGACCCAACAGAACTGATGGGATTTGCAGCTAGAGGCTTATTCATGAATTGCAGACTGAAGGAAGGAAAATTTTGCAAGTGTTGAAGGAATTAGCCCATTGAAGGCATGGAAGAATTTCCGGAAGGTAATGTATTAATAACATAATTTTTATGCTAATTCAGTTTTGATGGAGGCTATATAACTCAAAAGATTTTGGTGTATTTTATAAATAGGACCAGTATAGGTTTTTTTATATGATATGCATATGGTATTGCGCAAGCTGTCTTTATGTCATGGTTATGGATGTATTTGGATCCGAAGACCTTTTTGGTTAGTTTTCTTTAATGATAAATCAGCTGCCATGAATTCTATTGAGACTCAGTACATACGTAGGTTTTCCACCAGTATACAGTGGGTGATTTTAAAGCACTCGAGAAAACATGTATATATGGATCTTGATCCGTTATTGATATGTTTCTTGGACATGGTGTCCGTAATGCCAGCCACACAGCAGAATTTGACCAAATTATGATGCAGAAACACTACGTCGAAAACAAACGCAGGAGTTTTGTATACCATTGGTTTTCTGGTATGTATGCACGGGAGGACATGGATCACATGGCCGTCCACTGATGGATCGGGGAATCATCCTATATTATTTGGTAAAGTAGTTTTACAGGCATAATTTGCAGATCTAATAATGTGATTTTTTTAAAATTATTGCATCAACACTAAATTTTAATATTTAATTGAGTCTATAATTAATTTAAAGATTATGGTGAATTAGGTTAGCAACTTAAGTTAATAAATTAAGTTTAAATAACATTATTCTATTTGGGATTTACTAAGAGAATTACATTTATATGGATCTCTCTCTCCCCCAAAAAAAAAATAAAAAAAACCTTTTCGTACTACCAGTCTACCACAAGTGCCTTCACCACTGCTTTCCAAATGGTTGTCCCTCCATTCCAAGTTCTGGATCCATCCCTAGCGGTGATTCAGCGACTTATGGGCATGTTTTGCTCAAATCCCACTTTCTCCTACGTAATTCGTAAATGGAGTGTTATTCATTAGGTAATCTTCTTTAAAATTTGGCCCTTTTTTTTTTCGTCTTGACAGGCAGCAAAGATTCGGGGCCCTTGGAGAAGACTTATTATCTATACAATTAATTAATGGAGATGTGGACTGGGACTTGGGTGTCTACTCAAAGAATGACTATAGTACCCATAAATTGTCTATAATAATTGTCCATAACTTCCTCTTTCATCATACTTAATTTTCTTCTCATGAACTGTCATTGTTACTCTCCTTCCTTCCTTTCTTTTTTTTTTTCTTCCACAAATGACCATTTACAACCATCTATAATTTTCTTAACTGCCTAAATTTTTTTATCTAACCATATTTTATCATCTAAATTTATTTATTCCAATCTCTTCTCATCTTCATATCTTTTTCTTTGTATCTCTGCACAATGATATGTGTGTGCATGACTCCTAGTCTTTTTATAAATAAGGCTTATTATCAGGGTTCAAAGTCTTGGCCGATACCGATACGAGTCAATTGAGTCGTATTCGACTCGGTATCTGTTGAGAAGATATCGTTACATGATACGATTGAACCCCGAGTCTTACACTACTCAGCCATGTCTTCCAAGTCGTATATGAGTTAATCCTGAATCGCTGAGTTGTCATCACTGAATCAACCTACATGGTTCCGTGACGCTACAATATGACTTAAATCTCTTGTCATGTGCAACATTTTTCTTTTAGGTTGCTGTAGACATTAAATTTTATAAATGTCTATAGTTGAGCCCAAATCAATTAAATAAGCTTCTAAAAAAATAGATTTGGATTTAAATTCCATAAGTCCAAATAATACAAGCTCATACTTAATTAAACAAGATTCTAATTAAGTAGGACTTCAATTTTATAAACTCAAATTAAACACAATTTTAAAGGTAAATTAGTTGGACTTAAATTAACTAAAGCCTACAAATTTATATAAAAAATGTGTAGCCCACTACCTAAGCCCATATTTGTATTCAAATAAAATACATTTATATGGATAATTACTCCCAACACTATAGATAAGGGTATGAGAGAGGCCAAAGAGGAGGCCAAGAAGAAGAAAGCTAAGAGGAGGGAAGATCAAGAAGCGTTGTTGGAGTCCATCTTAGGTGGAGAATGGAAGATCAACAACGAAACTCTGTCGAAGTCTACCCCCAACCAAAGCCTTGCAAATACATTCAAGAGGAGGACTGAAGATCAAGAAGCTTTTCCCAAGTCCATCTCAAGAGGAGAAAGGAAGATCAACAACAAAGTTCTGCCAAAGTCTACTCCCAATCGAAGTTTTGCAAATCTATCTCTAAAGAAAAGGTCACACCGCCAAGGTCCTTCTTCAAGAGATTCAAATCATCTTCAATCCAATCCTTGTGAAGAATGGGGAGAATATCCATCATGGACACCACCAAATCAAAGAACGAGAATAACGCCAATTCAACCCTCGTCATCATTAAATTCATCGAGAATTATAGGATAGTGCACGTGAGAAACACGCTGAAGAGAGTCAATATGGAGTATAAATTGTTATATATTGGATCTCGAATAGGTCATGTGATTGAAGTGTACATAGGTTATGCGTTTGGGAGTAGTCTCAAATTTTGTGTTGTCGTGATCCCAATAGAGGGGATGTTGTATGGTGGTGTTGGGTTATGCGGCATTCATAGATATTTTTGAGGGTTGATGGATAATCAACAAGTTGACAAAGAACCCCGATTTTAGGGGCGTCACAAAATATGCGATATCGATTATTGATTACAATTATATGTGTTAGTATAGGAAAGAAGTGGATTAAGGGCTAACAATATAAATTAGTGGGTTATTGTTAATTTGGATATATATATATATATATATATATATATATATACATAATGATGACTCCCCCTAAGGTAGATATGTAGTCCATATACATACTAGTGGACCATCCACTATAGAAAAGATGTGGAAGGGATTAAAAGGGAGGGGAAAAGTGGCGGCTACTTCCTAGGAAATTGTAGAAATATAATAAGATGAGTAAAAAAGAAAAGGAAAAGAAGAGAAAAGAAAAACAAACAAAAGCCTCTCACACTTGAAGTTTCGGCTTAAGGAAAGAAAGCAAGGAAAAGACCCTCCACACTTGGGAAAAATTCAGCTAAGGCTAGGAGGGAGGGGAAGTGGTGAAGCTTGGTGGTGTGCTTAATGGTGGAAGACTAGTGGTGGTGCTTGGTGGTGTTAGAAGTGAGTACAAGAGGTAAGTTATGTAACTTATTTTCTCTCTTCTTTAATGTATACATACAATTCTAGTGTATGTATTTGGGTAATGCATGTGGGTTAAATGTGATGCTTGTTGTAAATGTGTAGTACCATGGGTGTTACATGGAAAATTAACATACTGTTTGTATGTGTGTGAGCATAATTAGTGTTGTTGCATGAAATATAAAATCAAAAATTGGGATTGTTGTATGTGGGTTGAGTTTTGGCCAAGAGAGATTGTAGTTTGGTGAGTAGCTTAGAAATTTTGTGAATTGTTCTTGAACTTTCATTAATCCATGGATATGAATTAATTACAAGAAAGCATGTAATTTTATGGTTTTATATAAAGTGGAATAAATCCAAGTATACTTTTGTTATGTTTGCAATTTTATGAGAAATTTTTAATTTAGTGTAATTGATTCAAATAAATATTGCTTGAAAGGATACGAGAAGACTAGTTCAATCGATTCGAGTAGATAATTTTACTCGATGTAAATGGATTATTTAATTTGACTCGAATTGATTATTAAACTATTAGCTTAATCGATTCGAGTAGATAATTTTACTTGATGTAAATGAATTATTTAATTTGACTTGAATTGATTATTAAACTGCTAGCTTAATCGATTCGAGTAGATAATTTTATTCGATGTAAATAGATTATTAATTCGACTCGAAGTGAGTATTAAAATTCAATTTGCGTAAACCATTAAGGATTTAAGTATAATTACATATTAATACTTGAATGGAATTGTGGATATTGGGCATGCCAAGTCCAGAGGCGAAAAACTCAAAGAATGTTGCACTCAAAGCTCCGATGGAGGGGTCGTCTACGAGGTAGAATCTCATGTAAGATAGATGTGCTATCCTACATTCTCTTTATTGATAAATATTTATGTCTTGTTTAAATAGTTGTTTTATGATCTCATCTAAGATTTAATAATTAAGTGGTGTAATATTTGGGCGACGGAGATGGTTTAAATGACGGAGTAAGCTTTCGTGACTTGGGTTGATTGTGTGATGGAATTTGTGCATGCAATTCGAGTTGACGGTGTGGGTGGTGAATTTAATTTGTGTTTATGATAAAAGAGACAATATGTAAATTGATTATTGGATAAGGGTTGTCTTCGTGACAAGAGTTAATTCTGTAAATTTGAGTCTTCTATGTGACTGGAAATATAACGTGGTTGAGGGTCGACTAAATGACAGAGATTGTGGTTGATACGAGACGTCCTGGTGATAGGAACTAAGTGTTCGATTTTGAGTTGTTTACGTGACCGGAGGAAATAAATTGATTGTGAGTCATCTAAATGAAGGGAATTAAATGTTTGATATGAATCATCTAAGTGATGGGAATTAGCTATGTGCTTCAAGTTGTCTACTTGATAGAAAATAGCTAAGTGATTTGAGTCGTCTAAATGACAAGAATAATTTATGTGGCAAAAATTGTGTGGCTTGAATTCCTTGTGTAGTCAAGGGTGTGTGCGTGAGGGGTATTCGTCGTGTGTTATAATTTAATTATGTGAAAGAAATTAGTTGTGCGATATATTTTGTCTATGTGGTATACAAGTTATGTCTATGTGATGTATATGAATAACGTTTATGTGATGAAGTGTGATTTGAATGTTGTTAATTGCTGCATTGTTAAGGATATTCCTAAATTAATTAAGTATTTCTTACCATTTGTTGTGCTCATGATTATTGATTGCATCTCTGCTCTCATTAATGGTCACCATGACTTTTCAGGGTAAAACCGTAAAGACGCGAGGAGTCCACTATCGCGTCTAGAGAGTCGATTGTGATGTTATCATGGGA